GCGTCCTGGCATCCCCCAGGGTGGTCCGGAGGGCTCCGGGGGTTAGGGGTGGGAGTGCGGCTGCTGGCGACGTCTGGCGCCCATTTCGCAAGTGGGGAAACTGAGGACGGGCCGCAGCATTTGGTGCCGGGTTCCATCGGCAATGACTGCGCGGCGTGGGCATGACTGGGTATAGTGGGCCCCCCCCTCCGTCCCCCCGGGCGGGCAGACTGGAGTCGCTTCTCCAGCTGTCTCTCCCCCTCCAGCTGTCCCCCAGTAGGCTGAGCCCCTTCGTCCCTCTAGCCTCACTCAGCTCCTTGGTGGAGGGGTGGAGATGGCGTCGCCTGGCAGGGTTAAATGAGAGGGTGCGTGGAGCTCGTCTGGCACCGCGCCTGCACGTCGACCGCGCTAGGCACGCGGTAGCTGCTGGGCGCCTGTCATCCCTGTGTCCCCAGCATCGAGCCCTCCTCACTCTGCCTGCCCCGGTGGGACAGGGGTTCACCTGGGCCTGAGGCAGGGGAGTGGGGAGGTGGGGGTCAAGAATATGATATTTCCCTGTTAGGGTTGAAATCTGGGATTCCAGATGCAGATTGCCTGGGTTTGAATCCCTCTGCGGCTACTTCTGAGCTGTGTGACCTTGGGCAATTGACTGAACTTCTCTGAGCCGCATATTATCTGCAAAGTGGGCATAGTGATAACACTAGGGTTGTTTTGAGGCTGAAAGGAGAGCTGATCCGTGTGAAGCGTTCAGCATCTCAGCGTCTAGCACAAAGTAATCATTGCCAACTTTTGTTCAGCATCTACTGTTATTGCCAGAGTCGTTGGGCCAAGTGGCTGACCCTGTGAGAATGACCAGTGGCTGATTCACAGGGTGGGGGCATGAGCCTCAGGCCTGGGCCACGCAAGACCAAGACTGACCTTGGGGCAGTCCCTCGGCTCAGTCTGTACCAGCTTCCTCTTCTGCCCGCGGGGAACCTAGGGGGTTCTGGTGCCAGCTTCCTCTTCGGGGGGGCTGGGGTATGGTTGGGTGGGTGACGGAGGCTGAGGGGACACTGGCTACGTGGCTGGGCACAGCCCCGTGATGGTTAGTTTCCCATCGGCATCCCTGCTGCTCTCGATCCTGGGTTTTGGAGTGCAGGAACCTCACGGGATGCACCCTTGGGTCCCCGCGCCTGCTTGGGCCTGGCACGGAGTAGATGTTTCAGCTGCGTCCTCCCTGCAATCCTGTGTTCCTAATCGGAAAACCAGGCAGGAGATGTTTCTGGCTTGTGAACTGGGGTCCCCCCCAAGGGGCAGAGTCTGGTTTCTTGGCACACCTGGCAGATAGATGGCTTTGTTGTCGCAGGGTATGGCGTAACCCCTAGGGGCAGTGCCACAAGCACTGTAAACAGGGGCCCATGTAAGCAGGGTCGTCCCAGAGATGGAGGCTGCAGGGTTGGGGTGGCGAGCTGGTGTCCTGCTGGGCGGGGTGACACTCGTGATATGCCCAGTTAGGCGAGAAGGTGGCAGGTGCCCTTGAGGAAGAGGCTGTGTGTGGTTACAGGCCCGGACCGGGCTCTGTACCCTCCTGGGAGGCAGGTCCTTGGGGACAGGAGGCGGAGGTGGTCCCAAGGGCTCACTGTCTTCCCTGTGGCACCAGGAAGGCGTGGTGCCTGGTGACATGCAAACCCCATGGCCCCATGGCCCTTCCGTTTTCCCATTGCTTATCACCGCTCATCCTCCCCACAGCCTGGGGGGTGAGGTCAGGGCCTCATTCCCACTTTGCACCCTGAGAAACTGAGGCCATGCGGGGCAGTTTGCGTGGCTAGGTCAGAACAGCTCCCAGTAGAGGGGGGAAGGCGGCGGGGGCGGTGGGGGTGTGAATCCTGTTGCTAGCCATGGCCCCCCTGGGCCTGAGCGTGTAAGGTCACCCGTGGACTGGGGTTAAGGCTCCGTTTTGGGGTCCCATGAAGAGGCAGGTAACTGGACCCCAGTGCTACATTGGGGAAGACCTCAGTTGTGGGCCTTTGAGGGAGAGCAGGACAGTGAAAGGCATCTGCCCTCAGCTTGCTGGTGGCCGAGGTGGGGACTGTCCTTTTGAACCTGCTGGTGGGCAGAGGGGGCAGGGAATGGGGGGCT